AACTGTGGTATAATAGACTATCATATAGTTCTATTTATCCACCAGTCGAAAGTGGATTATATAATACAGTGGACTATATTAAAGGACTATATACTATAGAACTATATTGTAGAACTATACTATAGAATATAGTGGTGGACAATTATAGTATAATAGTTCTAACTATATATAGTTCTATTATAGTTCTTTAGTATAGTTATATAATATGGTCCCGTCCCAAGCGCGACGGGACTTTCACCCAGACTTCTGGGAGCCAAGCAGTTAACTTGAAAGGCCTGGCGAATGTCACATCACCATGGCTTTGTTTTTTGCACCCAAACATGAATATCAACCAGATCAAGGGGCAAAATGGTAAGGATATTAAGGAATTATTAAGGGATATATGGAGCACATGTTAGAAAACTGCAATCAATTCAAGTAAACTAGATACGACAAATCTTGCTGGAGACTTCTAAGAGGAAATAACTTGTTCTGCTCAACTTCTGGGCGGAAATCCCTTTGTTCAAAAAAAACACCAACGGCCTCGGCCCACGGGAATCCTTCGGTTTCCTCAGCCCAAAAGTGGTTGATGGGAAATGGGAAGCCTTATTTGTGTTCAATGCGATTCAATGTGTCATATACTTATTTTCATATGGGAGGTTTCCTGGGGGGTACGCCCACATCATCTATTTTAAAAGGATTTTCCATTATAAACTGTCCAGCTATTGGGGTAGCCCCATGACAGGAAACCCCCATATATCTGTCATCACCATTTGGTATCGCAGCAATGCTGAGCTGCAAACCAAAGCCCACGCAGCTAAACGTCGGCCTGGCGTTGGCGTCGGCCCACGGGCACAGATGGATGTGGCAACTCCTGCTTGGAAATCCATGGTGAGTTGGGTTTGTGATGAGCACTTGTTGCAGGAGGATTATGAACTCTTGGGATCATCATCCCAGGATTCTGCTTCGGCCAGGCGTGAAAAATTGAAAACGGCAAGACCCGAAACGGCTGAAACGTTGCAAAACTACGTGCCAACATATTCAACATCTCTTGTAATTTGGCATAGCTCTGGAAAATGTTTCATTTAAATTTCATGATTTAGCCAATTTATTTTTGCACCCTGTTAGATTGCCAGAGGATTTCCATATCTACAGGCTTGATCCAGGGAAATCATAGCCACACTTTGGGGAGTCATTTGCCCAGTGACAGTATCATATATATATATATACATATAGAGGAACTCGTGTCAAAATCCTTTGCATTTCAGTAGTTACTATTATCGTTTATCGTTTCGGGGGACCATATCGCTGTCCAGTAATGTCCAGCATTTTGTGCCATTATCCCTTTTGGGGGGCCCTATCGTTTTACAGTGTTTCGTGCACATCTCTGACAAAAGAACTTCTGCAATACTACAGTGGTTTTCAATCAGTTTGACCGTAATTCATGAGTACATATTTAAATGTATATATATATATAAATACAAGTAAATATAGATATAAATGTTATTTATATTAATACAATATATTTATACATTTATACTATACATATAATGTTTGCACCCGATTAGTGTCCTGGTACCCTATTGTGAGAACTTTCTTGCTCCTAATTCAGTCACATGCAAATTGTTGGGGGGGAACTCTATTGTGAGATTTTTTTCCAGATGAGATTTTTTTCCAGATTTTTTTTCATTTTCTTTCTCCAAATGCTTTAACTTTTTTTTAAAAAAAAATCTAATTATTTATGTTTATTAGATTTTTATTAGATTTTTAATTTTGTTTTAAATGCCTTATTAAACCCTTATTAAAAAACAGCATCCAGACAATTTTTCAAGGGGGTACCTCATGAGTGGCTCAGTTACTCAATAATATAATTGTTTGGATGGTACTCTATTGTGAGCACCAACTTTTGGGAGTGAAAAAAAACAAAACCCTTTCTCCACCTTTCTTTGGGTAAAGCTGGCCCCTTTACTGTAGAAAGCCATAGTTGTGTTAAAACTTTAAAATGCAAGGCTTTCCAAATAATTAGATGCCTTATTAAACCCTTATTAAAAAACAGCATGCAGACAATTTTTCAAAGGGGTACCTCATGAGTGGCTCAGTTACTGAATAATATAATTGTTTGGATGGTACTCTATTGTGAGCACCAACTTTTTGGAGTGAAAAAAAAACCAAACCCTTTCTCCACCTTTCTTTGGGTAAAGCTGGTCCTTTCACTTTAGAAAGCCATAGTTGTGATAAAACTTTAAAATGCAAGGTTTTTCCAAATAATTAGATGCCTTATTAAACCCTTATTAAAAACCAGTACCCAGACAATTTTTCAAGGGGATACCTCATGAGTGCCTCAGTTACTCAATAATATAATTGTTTGGATGGTACTCTATTGTGAGCACCAACTTTTGGGAGTGAAAAAAAAAGCAAAACCCTTTCTCCACCTTTCTTTGGGTAAAGCTGATGCCTTTACTTTAGAAAGCCATATTTGTGTTAAAGCTTTAAAATGCAAGGTTTTCCAAATAATTAGATGCCTTATTAAACCCTTATTAAAAAACAGCACTCAGACAATTTTTCAAGGGGGTACCTCATGAGTGGCTCAGTTACTCAATAATATAATTGTTTGGATGGTACTCTATTGTGAGCACCAACTTTTTGGAGTGAAAAAAAAAACGAAACCCTTTCTCCACCTTTCTTTGGGTAAAGCTGGTCCTTTCACTTTAGAAAGCCATAGTTGTGATAAAACTTTAAAATGCAAGGTTTCCCAAATAATTAGATGCCTTATTAAACCCTTATTAAAAAACAGCATCCAGACATTTTTTCAAGGGTATACCTCATGAGTGGCTCAGTTACTGAATAATATAATTGTTTGGATGGTACTCTATTGTGAGCACCAACTTTTGGGAGTGAAAAAAAAGCAAAACCCTTTCTCCACCTTTCTTTGGGTAAAGCTGGTCCCTTTACTTTAGAAAGCCATAGTTGTGTTAAAACTTTAAAATGCAAGGCTTTCCAAATAATTAGATGCCTTATTAAACCCTTATTAAAAACAGTACCCAGACAATTTTTCAAGGGGATACCTCATGAGTGGCTCAGTTACTCAATAATATAATTGTTTGGATGGTACTCTATTGTGAGCACCAACTTTTTGGAGTGAAAAAAAAAACGAAACCCTTTCTCCACCTTTCTTTGGGTAAAGCTGGTCCTTTCACTTTAGAAAGCCATAGTTGTGATAAAACTTTAAAATGCAAGGTTTCCCAAATAATTAGATGCCTTATTAAACCCTTATTAAAAAAACAGCATCCAGACAATTTTTCAAGGGTGTACCTCATGAGTGGCTCAGTTACTCAATAATATAATTGTTTGGATGGTACTCTATTGTGAGCACCAACTTTTGGGAGTGAAAAAAAAAATGAAAGTAAATTAAAAGTAAATTGAAATCAATTGAAAGTAAATTGAAAGTAAATTAAGAGTAAATTAAAAGTAAATTGAAATCAATTGAAAGTAAATTGAAAGTAAATTAAAAGTAAATTGAAATAAATTGAAAGTAAATTGAAATCAATTGAAAGTAAATTAAAAGTAAATTGAAATCAATTGAAAGTAAATTGAATTAATTAAAAGTAAATTGAAATCAATTGAAAGTTGAAATCAATTGAAAGTCCCTTTCTTAAGTTGATTGACCAAAAAAATGTTGAGGGGGGGGCAAAAAAAAGTGCGAGTTATAGAGTATCCTCAAATTGTTTAGGGGGGGGCCCCTCACACTAATCAGATGCAAACATTATATATATATACATATACATATATGTATATATTATAAATTGGGTATACCCTTCAGCACCATGGTTTCAGTTGCGTCGCCCACCTGCAGGGATTAGTTCCACGTAGCGTCGGCCCATGCGGGCCATGTGCAACGTCTGCGTCGTCGGGCATGGTTTTCCCCAGGGCAAACATCTAGAAATGGTGGATTTTTCCGGGAACTATGCATCAATTTGCCTGAAAGATCCTGAAAAACCATTGTTTTTCCCCCAGCATGACATGTATGTATATATACAATGTGAGGCCCCCCAGTTATAAGTTGGATTTTAAGCCCCAGTAACTATAGTTATAAGTACCATAGACCATAGTTATTGAAGTTATAAACCAACTTAGATATCTTGGGGGCCTCACATTGTAAATAGATAGATAGGTAGATAGATAGATAGATAGAGATAGATAGAGATAGATAGAGATAGATATAGATAGATATAGATAGATATAGATAGATATAGATAGATATAGATAGATATAGATAGATATAGATAGATATAGATAGATATAGATAGATATAGATAGATAGATAGATAGATAGATATAGATAGATATAGATAGATATAGATAGATATAGATAGATATAGATAGATATAGATAGATATAGATAGATATAGATAGATATAGATAGATATAGCTAGATATAGATAGATAGATATAGATAGATATAGATAGATATAGATAGATATAGATAGATATAGATAGATATAGATAGATATAGATAGATATAGATAGATATAGATAGATAGATAGATTAGATAGATAGATAGATAGATAGATAGATAGATCGATAGATAGATAGATGTTGCATGATTTTAGTTGTTCCCCACATTTTGAATACACCCGATGTCAGAAGAGTCAGAAGAGTCTTATCGAGTGACTTCTGTTGGTTGAATGAATGGCATTGCAGTGAAAGCTGTTGAAACTTGCAAACCTACAGCCTCCAAAACTGTTGCCATTCAACATTGTAGGTTATGGTCATCCCTCAGTTTTGACGGTAATTCCCTATTCATGCTGGTGCCACGTCCCCCAGCGAGTGGGTTTATCTAATCCAATGATTTACTGATTATACACTCAGTGTCGGCCCAAGTCCTACCAGTGGTACACCTTGACAGATGCTTGGGAATTGATTTCGCCACATCGTTTTGTCTCATTGGATCGTGCCTTACTTGATTCTGAATTGGCTCAGCAACACGTTGCTTGTGGATGTATGGCCTTGCTTGGCCGAGATGATGGCTGTGACAACTGACGGATCTCTATGGCACACGCCTGCTTATGACGGCGAGGATGCCGCTGGCATTCAGCAGCCCTTATCATTGCACTTCTTGCTAGCCATTTCGATCATGTGGCTTTTATCTGTCACACATGCTTTGGATGACCAATTTGGAGGACAAGACTACGACAACGCATGCTTCTGTTTCATCCCTGACTGTGATGGCGCTCTGCGTGGAAGGGCACGTGCAATTTGCCCTTGCATGAATGTCATTGCACTTGTGTCTGCCCGAATCAGATTTGATTGGCTTAGTAGCCATTGGCAGTTGCTGCCGCATGCGCTGGACAGGAAGGAGTCAGGAGGCAAACTGCTGGTTTCGCACAAGCATCATCAGGTGCCAGTGGGACAGCAATAGAGGACAAACGTACCGCTAGGGTGAGCTAAGGGCCTGCAACACTTGAGCCTTGAGGCGGCAACCGGCAGCCATTTTCCTCAACAATTATATAGATTATTTTCCTTGTGAGTTGCCCGGCGGAAACAACCTCCCCGGTGCCTTGTTTCAGTTTGTTTGTGGCCTACGTGGGCCCTGCCGGCCGTTAATGTTTTCCAGTGGATGCAAGGAAGTCGGCAGCCGGCAACCTCTGACGACTGCCTTCTTTCAGTTGTGCTTTGCTGTGTCGAACCCTGCTCACCATGAGCAAGTGTACTGTGTTGGACACACGGGCCTGCGCTGCAGCTGGCCCTGTGCTTGTGAGACCGTGTGTGATAATGATTATACAAACTATAGTTGGTTATGTATCCCATACCATATATGCCCATAAACGTCTCAATCATCTTTCCTGGGTATCTCATCCAACCAGCTTGTCAGAATATCTACTATGTTAAACAAACTTATCATATTCAAGTCCCCATCATTACACGTCCCATGTACACCTCCCACCCAAAGAACTTTCAAGGGACCTTCTTGGCCCGATAGACGCGATCAGGGTCCATCCACACCAGGGCTTCCCCTGCGAAGGCTGGATTTGGCTGGCTTTACCAGGTAATTTGCTAGTTTTCTATGCAAAATGGTCCATTTATAGATGATGAAAATGAATGAACGTGATTACCACAGGGTATCTGATTTTTCCAGGGAAAACAAAAAATATCGAATTCACCCATGTCGCAACATGACGGAGTTGGGATTTCCATCTTTCCGGCAAATCACCGGGCAAAATACATCTTTGGGAAGTCGCTTAAACACCATTTTCAGATGGTGGAGAATTCATATCATTTCTATGGATTCTGCGTCTATTGTATCAATGTAAAATAATATAGTATGTCTGTTCGGAAGGACTGTTTTCCAAAGGGATTGCACATGACCAAACCTATGTCTATCTTTGCTTGCACAATGTTTTCGACGAACGACATTGCGATTCCTGTTTTGCAACTCAACTCTCAACGCTGCGCAACTCGCATCAGGACTTCGAGTACAGGACTTGCTGATGGGGAAGGTGCCTTGTGATGTTGGAGTAGTTTGCGAATTCTTATGGTTTATCATCAGTTTCCTTATGAAAATGACCATTTTGAGGTACAGTATCCTCCAAGTCATTGATCTTTTTGAGACGGTGGCAACATTCATCCGCGCTTCGGCATGTTTTGCTGACCCTTTTCTCCCCAAGCAATGGCCCCCAGTCACGGGGGTACAGCGCGTCTCGGAAAAGCCCTGTACACTGTACATCACTGTACATGGTGTAACAACTTCAGCCATACTCAACAAACATATCTGTGGATTGTGGATAATATCAACAGGCCTCACTATCCTCACAAAACCAGATGCAGCCCACGAAACAGAATGCAGTCACGTCAACACTTTTGTCAAACAAGTTGTTTGAACAGTCTTGTACATTTTTCCCCTGTCACCGTACCAGTGCACTGTAGACTGTGGTATGCGGAAGAGGGCCGAGTGCAAAGTGTGGAGCGTGAAGAAAATGGAGTGTTGAGTGTGGAATGTAGTGTGTAGAGTGTGACGCGGGGATTGCGCAGTGTGGAGTGTAAAGTGCAAGGTGTGGGGTGGAAAGTGTCAAGTCTAGAGTGTGGAGTGCAAAAAGTAAAGTGTAAAGTGTAGACTGTGGAGTGTAAAGTGTGAAGTGTGGAGCGTGGAGTGTAGAGTGTAGAGTGTGGAGTGTTGAATGTGGAGTGTAAAATGTAAAGTGTAAAGTGTGGAGTGCAGTGTAGAGTGTGGAGTGTAAAGTGTAGAGTGTAAAGTGTGGAGTGTCAAGTGTGGAGTCTAAAGTGTAAAGTGTGGAGTGTAAAGTGTGGAGTGTGGAGTGTAAGGTGTGGAGAGTAGAGAGTGCAGAGAGTGCAGAGAGTGCAGAGAGTGTAGAGAGTGTAGAGAGTGTAGAGAGTGTAGAGAGTGTAGAGAGTGTAGAGAGTGTAGAGAGTGTAGAGGGTGTAGAGAGTGTAGGGAGTGTAGAAAGTGGAGTGTAGAAAGTGGAGTGTAGAAAGTGGAGTGTAGAGTGTGGAGGGTAAAGTGTAGAGTGTGGAGTGTGGAGTGTAAAGTGTGGAGTGTAAAGTGATGTAAAGTGTAAAGTGTAAAGTGTGTGGAGTGTAGATTGTGGAGTGTAGAGTGTAGTGTGATGGGTAGTGTAGAGATTAAAGTGTGGTAAAGTGTTGAGTGTAAAGTGTGGAGTGTAAAGTGTGGAGTGTGGAGTGTAGAGTGTAAAGCAGTGTGGAGTGTGGAGTGTTAAGTGTGGAGTGTAAAATGTAAAGTGTAAAGTGCACAGTGTGGAGTGCAAAGTGTGGAGTGTGGAGTGTAAAGTGTGGAGTGTGGAGTGTATATAAAATGTACAGTGTGGAGTGCGGAGTGTAAAGTGTAAAGTGTGGAGTGTAAAGTGTGGAGTGTAAAATGAAAATTGTGAAGTGTAACGTGTTGAGTGTGGAGTGCCACCGTGCACTTGACGCAGCCCTGACAATGCGATGCCCAAATAACATGCAACACGACACGTCTAAAGTGCAGCGCCTGCCACGCAAAATGACGATGGAGCTCTCTAAAGCGTTGCGTTTGCCACAAAAAATGCAAACTCATTGTCTGAAAACGATGCAAAAGTATTGCCCCTGTCACACAAAACGATTGTCGACACGCTTGCAGACACGTGAGAACGTCAGGAAGTACCATGCCTACCACGCAAAACGACATTACAACCTGCTTGGAAACCTTCGAAAAGGAGAGCTTTTGCAGCTTCCTCCATAGACTCGGCGACGGCAGAAGAAATCCAGAGAATCGAGACAAGACATGTTGGAGCCTCAAAACGAGCGTTTCGTGCGAAACGCCGCCCTCCAATTTTCACACTTTGTAGCTTCAGAATCGACGTTTTCCTAATTTTCCTAGTTTTCCTTAGAACCTCAAAATTTGCAACTTCAAAATCGATGTTTCGTGCGAGGATTCCGTCAATTTTCAGCATATCTCACAAAATGCCACGCCTGCACTGGAATTTGCACCTTGTCACCACTTCACGCAGCCCTGACAATGCTATTCGCAAAGAACGAGCCAGAAGACACGTCTAAAGTGCTGCGCCTGCCAGGCAAAATTAAGATGGACACGTCCAAAGTGCTGCGCGCTGCCATGATAACTACAAGGCATCGTTTGAAAAGGTCGCAAAAGTATTGCGCCTGCCACACAAAACAACTTTTGTCACGTTGTGAAACATGTCTGAATGTCACAATGTGCCACGCCTGCCATGCGAAACGCTACGCGACGTTTGAAGCCCCCAAAAGTGACCCCTTTTGCAGAACTCACCATAGGCACGGCCATGCGGCCCTCGCGCGAACGGTTGCGGACGGTTGCGAACAGTTGCGGACGGTTGCGAACGGTTGGGCAACGTCGAGCGAACACACCCTCAACCCCCAGACCCCTATAGAGTGAAACGGGAACCCTTGCTACGCATTCGGGAAAAGGATCCTGAAAACTGCACCAAGTTCTTCGACAATTGAAAGGTGTCTTTGCAAAATCAAATCGCTGAAGTGTTTGGCGATCCGAGTCCTCCGGGGTCATCTCAAAGGGCTCCATCCTCCATGCGAAAGCAGCGCCGTTTTAGTCGACCTTTGAAAAGTCGACCTATCCGAGGAGCTCCATTCCATATGGATGATGATCATTCATAAAATGTGAGGCCCCCAAGATAGATAAGTTGGTTTATGGTACTTATAACTATAGTTACTGGGGCTTTTGTTAACCAACTTATAACTAGGGGGGCTCACATTGTATGCTTTGGGTATACCCAAAATGCCATAAACATCCATAAACCATGGTACAACTGATGCTCAACCATGGGATTTGGAAGTACAGTACCCCAGTTTCAGGTAGCCTGCGCCCATGTCATATTCCACAGACCCATGGTGGAGTCCACATCGAATTGTATGCGCCATGGTCAAGTTACACATAGTATCACATAGTGCAACAGATTGATTGTGGTCATCCCACCATCATGAACGGCACTCCTTATGTAATATTAATATTATGTATATTATTTTACCATTGTATATACATGATACGGAGTTCATTAATAAAGCCACATTAATGGATTGCCACCACCCCGGAAACTGGCCACAGAACACCTTAAGGCGGCCCGGTGGCCATGTCCTGGATCGGCTTTTTGGCCTTCAAGAAATCGCACATCAACCTGAAGCACAGCTGTAGCAACCCTTTGTTGATCCAGGGGTGCTCAAAAAGTTTCCAAAGGGTCGATGAACCAATGGAAAGTATACAAACAATGATAAACTATGATCCATTCATTCACCATTCATCATTTATATCATTTATGAATCCTTCATGGACTAATCATTCGAATATGATAATGAATCTATGCCACTATCCCATGGCAGAATGGTGGACATTCTGGGCATCCTCTTGGGGGACAGCATGAATCAAAAATGCTTGCGTCAAGAATGCCAAATGAGTCAACGGGGATATCCATATAGTTCTTTCAACTGGAAAAACATATTAACAATTATAATTTAACATTGGATTAACTGGAAAATATATAATTAGCAAATAATTAACATTGGATTTTTGGGAAACCGCGTTTTCAGACAAGCCAACATCAACAAACGATTGCACAAATCATGGTACAGATGGTTACAGTGGCACAGATTGTTACAACTTACTGGTGCGTGAAAAACGTAGGGTTGCTGGATGGGTTGGGAATGGGGTTGCTTGGATGATTATTAATAAATTATTGATAGTTAGCCAGGATCATTCCCTGATAAGCACCAGGTAACCTGCGTTTCACTGTACCAAATTTCCAAGGTTGAGTCAGCCGCCCGCCAGCATTACGGTAATGTTTTCAAGAAACCACTGATGTGTTATTGTTTATTAACTGTAAACCTACTTTATTCAAATCTTGAACCGATTTTTATAGTAACAATCCGCGTCCGTTT